GATGTGACTAGACTCTGGTAAAACAGCAAAGGCGGGACAATACCTGAGGCTGCAATTATAGGCTCCCTACTGCTTGCTAACAGCCAAGGACTGACAAGAATTTCCCAGCAGAAGATGTGTGCATGCAGAGGTGCCTATATGCAGAACCTCGACTGAGTACAAACATTAGACCACACAAGTGACAAATACCATCTCCAAATACTCCATTCAGAAATCAGGATAAAATTAAGATATTTGGTTCCCATCTTTCACCCAGATTGAGAAATGTCAACCCATTCCCAGGGAAATTTAAATGAGACTATAGAAGCCATGCTCATTTCCACTCTCAGTCATCTCCCTGAGAAAGATGGCACAACTCAAAATGTAACAGAAGATAATCTCCAGTGTGGCAGAGAAGAAAAAGGAGAAAAGATTACTGCCACAACAGGTATGGGGCATGTCTCCTGTAAGTTCCGGGCTGCTGGCACTTCTACTGAACTTTATAGTTTTAGTCTTCAAGAACAGTAGTTCTCAACCTTTCAATGCTGTGACCCTTTATACAATTCATGTTGTGGTGATCCCCAGCCATGAGGTCATTGTTGTTTCTACTTCATACCTGTAATTTTGCTACTCTAGGAATAATCTACTTTCTGGTGGTCTTAGGCAACTCCTGTAAAAGGGTTGTTCAAGCCCCAGTTGAGAGTCACTGTCTTAGAAATTAAGTGTCATGAAAGTGTTAATTTGTTCAGAACTTTCTGTTCAATCTGGATTAAGCCACCTGAATAATTTTACATTGATTCTATATAACTGTGATGCATCAAGTATACATCCACATTTCTCTAAGTCAAATAATCACAGACTCAGAGTACAAAGTGTGAAGTGAAGTGTGAACAAAGTTACTAATGAAATGGGTTCCTGCTGGAGAAATGGCTCAGCAGATAAGACCACTGGCTGCTATTCCAGAGGACATGGGGTCAATCTCCCACATGGCAGCTCTCAGCTGTCTGTAACTCCAGGTCCAGGGGACCTGACACCCTTACACAAGCAAAACACCAATGCACATTAAATGAATAAAATGAAATGAAACATGGATTTTACTTTTAGGGGTAGAGAGACAGCCTAGTGGTCAAAAGCACTGGCTGTTCTTTCAGAGGACCTGAGTTTAATTCCCAGCACTCATATGGCAGCTCATGACTGTCTATAACTCCTATTCCAGGGGATCTGATATCCTGACAAAGACATACATACATGCAAAACACCAATGCATATAAAATATAAATAATGAAAACCGAATTAATCACTTAAAAAATCGTCAGTCTGCTTACCAATAAACAGTTTTTCGTTGATACATAACATTTAGTGCTTTTCATTGTTTAGAGCTCTTCAGACATATATTTATTTACTTAGTTCTCTGTGTGTGCACTTGTCTTGGTGTGGACCTGGAGGTCAGAGGACAATTTGCAAGAGTCCTGTTTGCACCATGAGGGTTCTATCGCTCAAACTCAGACCCTCAAAGGCAGCAAACACCCTGCTATCTATCTCAGTGGGCCTTTTCTCTTAGATTTTATTTTGCTTTGAGACAAGGTGTTGACATGCAGGTCAGGTTGAGCTCCAATTCAGTTTTCTTGCCTCCACGTTCTAGTGAGTGCTCAGGTTACAGGCAGGCACCACCACAGCTGGCTTCTCCATGTTTGCCAGTCTTATTTTTAAAAGCTGGGCTATGTATAAAGAGAGGAAAGATCTGGACTAGGTGTGGTGTTATACACCTGTATATCGAAACGCTGGAAAGAAAGGCAGAACAACTCCCACCCCAAGTTTTAGGCCAACCACCTTGATCTACAGAGTAGATCCAGTTCCAAGACAGACAGACAGACAGACAGACAGACACACACACACACACACTAAATTATAAAAACTAACAAATTGTGAGTTCAAGGCCAGCCTGGCCTACAAAGCCACAGAGAAACCCTGTCTCAAAAAAAAACTAAAATAAATAAAAAAATAAGTAAAATAAACTAATGAAGTGTTTTTTTGGGGGGGGGTTCGAGACAGGGTTTCTCTAATGTAGTCTTTAAATGACAAGAAAACAGAGCAGAAGAAAAGCAAGCTATCTAAAAGGAAAAAGAACCACTAGAAGATAGTTGAGGACATGGTCTACCATCTTCACTGGTCTAATTCTGACTTTCCGACAATTCCAAACTGAGAAAGTAGCCTTTGTCCACGGGTTCTATAAAGCAATATATTTCCTTTTTGAACTTATATAACTAAGTTCAAACACTTAAAAACACTGATTGAAAATGACTGATCATTTATGGATTTTCCATAGACTAAAAATCTGACAAATACTTATAAACAGTTGGATATTTAAGAAGAGAAAAATCACCTGCTCATGAGTAAGTGGTTCTCAACTTTCTTAATGCTGCAACCGTTTAACACAGTTCCTTATGCTGTGGTGTCCCCAACTATAAAGTTTTCATTGCTCCTTCCTAGCTGTAATTTTGCATTTATGAATCAAAATGTAAATATGTGTGTTTTCAGATGGTCTGAGTTGACCCCTATGATAGGGTTGTTTATCCTCCAAAAGGGGTCATAACCTACAAGTTGAGAACCACTGCTCCAAGGGCTTAAAATTCAGCACACACACAAAAAAAAATCTAAGGAAACTCACACACACTAAATGAAAACAATGACAAATAAGACTTACAAGCTTTAACAGTTCCTCAACTGCAATCCAATAGTAAAATAAATCAGCTGCTTTAAAAAAAAAAAAGATCTGAAACTGAATAAGCACCGGTGTAGTTTAGTAGAAGAATGAACTTACTGTACACCAGGCTCTGAGCTGAAATCAAGTTCCAGAAACAAATCTTTTTGTTATTGTTGTTTATTTGCTTTGTTTTTGGAGACAGGGTTTGTATGTGTAGCCCTAGCTGTCCTGGAACTCACAAAATTCACCTGCCTCTGCCTCCAAAGTGCTGGGATTAAAGGCATGGGCCACCACAGCCGGGCTCCAAAAAAGAATACTATATGACTAGTCTAAACAAATAACAAAAAAACCCAAGTACCTCAATGCCATTTTGCACACTTATCTCCAACTAGTTTCAATGCAACTTTCACAACAGGGTCATCACTAGGAGTATTTCAGCTCTGACCTGAACTAGGCTCATAAGAGCTCACAATGAACAAATACAGACCACATTTTGTACAACTTTGTGTTCTAAACCTCACTTGGTACCCCACCCTAAACGTATCAGCAGCTCTAAGTACTGACTCAGGACAAACTCTAAAGACACTAAGTAGACTATCAGAACTGTCAAGAATTCAAGTTAACTCTGTGAGTTCGAGGCCAGCCTGGTCTACAGAGCGAGTTCCAGGACAGCCTCCAAAGCCACAGAGAAACCCTGTCTCAAAAATAAAACAAAACAAAAAACAAAAAAAAAGTTCAAGTTAAATTTAAATGCTTCCCTCTTGTCATTACATAACACTGATATTCTAAAGTCAGTTAACTTCACTAACAACCGATAAGGCAGTTTTGCAGACAACCAAATTGCCAGGAAAACGGATGCCAATAAAAAATAAGTAAATTATGCCCCGCCAAAAAGTTGCCTTGAATTCTGCCAAGATAAGTCTGTTTTGCAAACTAATCAAAAATCTTCAATCTATAGGTGAGTTTTTAAAAATTTTTTAAATATCTGGTCACAATAGTCTACAAGCGTTCCTATGTGAAATGTTTCTGGTTGCTAGTCTACACCTTTAATCACTGAGATTTTAATCACACAGGTGTGACATTTCTTTAAAAACCTGGGATGGATGGCCAGCGACTCAGCAGTTGGAAAACCCAAAGCATGACAAAAAATAAATAAAAAACCATAGAACACCACTCTTTCTGCCTTCCGGGTAACTACCAACATGCTGCTCGTTGAGCATCTTGCTTCAATTTCGGAATAGTGCTTTAATTAAGAGGAAAGCAGTGTAGGGTGGGAGGAAAAAAAAATCAAATGGAAAAGCAGCACTGAGAGGCCGGACTCCAAACGGTGTCCTCTGACTTCCACACCCGGACCACGGCACGCGCTGCTGCCCTCTTATTTATTTTAATAAAGAAAAAATCTTGCAAGTTCCCATTTCCAGTATCAGCGTTCGTTGGATATCTTCCAGACGATCAAGTCGCCTAAGAGCAGAAGAATCTACAGAGTCGTCGGAGGCGTGCGCGCCGCGCCGAGAGAGATGAATGAATGGAAGCCCGGCGCGTGTGAAATGCAGGTCCCCGGCCAGCCGACCCGCGGCGGCGGCGGCGATCAGTAGGCCTCGCTCCTCCCCCTCCACTCCTCCATGACAGCCCAGTCCCGGTGTGGAGGGGCCGGGACAATGTGATCGCCTCGGCGGCCCCCCTCCCGGGGCCCCGAGCGGTGCGCGGCGCGACCCCAGGGCGTCCTCCCGACTCTACCCCGCAGCTCGGCGGCTCTCGGCGGGACGCGCTCGCCTTCTTGCCGCGCCCCGCCCGACCGGCCGGCCCCGCGCGCCCACCGGCTCCGCCAACCCACCCTCCTCCGCCGCCGCCGCTCGAGCGCCGCCCGCACGAGGACCCCGGCGGAGGGGCGCGCGCGGGCGGAGGCGAGGCGCGGCTGCCCCAGGTTCCCTCCGGCTCTCCCAGGCCGGTTCACCGCCCACCCGGCCCTCCGAGCACGGTGCCCGCTAAGAGCCCGCCCCGCGGCCCCCAGCCCCCGGGCCGATCCCCGCGCCGCCCGCCGGCCCGAGCCGCCCTCCGCCCGGCCGCACCGCGGGGCCGCGCGGCGCCCCTCCCCCACCGCCCCGGTGCCCGGGCCCCCACACGGCGTGTGCGCTCCACGCTGCCGCCGCCAGCCTCCCGGCGCCAAGGCTGCCCGCGGAAGGTCAGGCCGGGGGACAGGGGCCGGGCGCGGCCGGGGGCGGCGTGCGCGCCGGGAACGCCGTCCCGCGGGGAGTCCCTGAGCGGAGGGAGCCGGAGCGCGGGGACCTCGGGGGTGGGGGCCGAAGGCAATACTCACCGGTTCCACAGTCGCCATCTTAGATCGATCTGATCGCACAACCGCTCCTGAAGGGGGGGCGAGAGGAAAAAAATGAGATTCAAACCGGATTGGCCGGCTCCTGCCCACGTGACGGACGTGTCCGTTTGGCCCTGGCGGCGCCTGCGCAAGGCTGCAGCTGCGTGGGGACCGAGAGGCTTCTGGGAAGTGGAGTCTCTCTCGCTCGCTCGCTCTCGCGCTCTCTTCTCTCTTTCTCTCTCTCTCTTTCCTTAAGGCGAAGTTTTTTTTTCTCTTTTTTAAAAAAAAAAACTGATCACGTGGTCGCTGGCGAGGGTGCGCGGCTCCCGGCGCCGCGGGTGCTTGCGGCAGAGTAGGTTTTAGGCCTCTGCGGTGCAGCGAGCAGAGCTCCGGTCGCAGTCACTGCGGGGCATTCCTGCTGTGCCCTTTGTCGCCCGGTCCTCCCATCTTTCCTAGAAGAGTGGGAACTGCAGGCTCAGCACACGCAAGAAGGCTTCATTGGCTTAGCTGAGGTTCTAGGACAAGTTGCTTGTGTGTTTTTATGTGGTTTTCTTTTCGCCTCCCACCATTGTCTCTTGGTCTCAGAAAGAGGCGGCGATGGAGAGTCGTTGATGCGGTCTGCGTTCTCCCCGTCCCCGAGATCCACTAGCGCGGGTGGTCACTTGTTTCCATCGCTGCCCCAGCGGGTGGGCGGGCTAGCCCACGGTACCCACTCGCACGCTTGGGGGAGGGGGCGGTGCACGCGTCGGCTTTTCCCGTTCCCAGTCCTGAGATGAAGGCGTCAGGGTTGAATCTTGCTGGACGTAAAAAGTTTGGAAGTTCTGTCCAATCGGTTCCAGTATTCTGCTTGGACGTGAACGGAAATAGCCTACGTCCAGGTGCCAGCCAGGGAAGCCACTCGGGGCTCCGCTGACTCAGCCCTGGACTGAAGGTCAGGAGTCGTTAAGCCGGGTCAACTATGACTCTTGACGTTGACTCATGCTCCTTAGGCGAGTGACTTAATCGCCCGGTGCCTCAGCTTTTTCATTTATGAACCAAGGATGATAATACACTTACCTCACAAGGGTGTGCTGTGGGACCGACGGGAACCAGCTTTGAAAACGCTTGGCCACCTAATGCTAGGAGCAAGCGCGTGCCTTCCTAAGGACCAGCTGCCTCTGCCTCCGCTGCGGCTCTGGAAAGGTTTCTTCCTGATACAGGGCCTCCTGTAGCCCAGGCTAGCCACGAACTTGCGGTGTAGGGGAGGATGGCCTTGAACTGTAGGTCTTCCTGCCTCCGCCTTCCCCTAAAGTACCGGGAGTGCTGGTGCTTGCCGGGTTGGGAGTGGGGTAAAGCAGCGATAGGGATGGAACCCAGGGCTTCCGGAGCTCTTGACCAGCTGAGCTACAGCTCCAAGCCTTAACGTTTTAAGTTTGTCTTCTGTTTTCTTTGTTACATTGCCATGTACATCATCGCAGTTTTGAAGTTTCAAGACTTTTCTTCTTTTCGAATGTAGCTGCTGTCAACAGAAGCTTTATATTCAGGAAAATATGTTCATAACTTTTTTTTTTTTTTTTTTTGGTTTTTCAAGACAGGGTTTCTCTGTATTGTTTTGGAGCCTGTCCTGGAAAGCACTCTGTAGACCAGGCTGGCCTCGAACTCACAGAGATCCACCTGCCTCTGCCTCCGGAGTGCTAGGATTAAAGGCCACCAACGCCAGGCAAATTTCTGTTTCTTAATAGTTGTTATGAACAGGGCGTTGGTGGCGCAGGCCTTTAATCCCAGCACTCGGGAGGCAGAGGCAGGCAGATCTCTGAGTTCGAGGCCAGCCTGAGCGAGTTCCAACACAGCCTCCAAAGCTACAAAGAAACCTTGATTGAAAAACAAGAGAGAGAGAGAGAAGTGTGTCCCCACGCCGGCGTGCTGCATTTTCTTCTATGATACTGGGCTATCGTTTCTCTAGACAGTGTTGAGTAAAGGCTCTAAAGAGGAAGACAGGATCTCGTTGCTGTTTCCAGGCTGCTTACGAATGTTATCACCAGGAAAAGCAGCACAAGCAAGCTCTCTGTGCCTGCCTCCTTATGGTGTTGCTGTTGTCCGGAGCCGTGTCATAGCTATTATTGAGTACATAATGGATGCTTGGGTTGACTAACACATAATTGAGGTTGTATAAGAACTCAAAGCCAATTGCCTGTTCGTGTTTTCTTGTTTACCAGGATGGCAGAAGCGACTTAAATGACAACTTTTTAGTCAGTACCCGTAGATTCTAAAGTAGGTACAATTGTGCAAACTAAACAAATGTGTTACACTAACCAAAGTGTATTTCCTGTTGTTTGTAAAATGGTATCTAGTTCACTTTGGTGAAAAGACAGCACAGGGTGCCGGGAGTGTGGCTCCTTAAAGTGCTCACCCAGCTGGCAGGAAGTCCTGTTTTAGATCCCCAACACCACATGAACCCAGCATTCTGGGGGATCAGGACTTCAAATTCAGCTTCCTGGCAGGTTCCAGGCCAGCCAAGGCAACATGAGAATTTCTATTCAAGGAAAGAAAAGACAAGACAGCGTAAATATCCTGGATTTGTTTTTTTGTTGCTGTTTGGGTTTTTTTTGTTTGTTTTTTTTGGTTATGAGATGATGTTGTTGTAAAACTGTCCTGTATGGTGGGTTGTCTAGATCACACACAACTACTTTGGTCCTTCGTAGTATCACTATAGCTACTCCTTATAATCTTGGGCTGATTGAATGTTTCTAAGCATTAGTGAATAATGATGATATTTTCTCAATATGATATATTCCTTCGACTGGTGTATTACCAGTCTTTATAGACTTGACTAATGTTGAGAGTTCAGATAATCTAGTAGAACTCATCTTCAGTCGTTTCAGATACTTGGGAGTTTTTGTTCCCTGATTAGATGACTGAAGACATTATGTTGTTAAGACTTTTCAACTGTGCTACAAACTAGTCATCCCTGCTATGATCTGTATAAAACTGTTACTGCCAGGGTTTTCGTCCTTGTTTTTTGGTTTTTTTTTTTTTTGGGGGGGGGGGTTTCGAGACAGGGTTTCTCTGTAGCTTTGGAGACTGTCCTGGAACTCACTTTGTAGACCAGGCTGGCCTGGAACTCACAGAGATCCGCCTGCCTCTGCCTCCCGAGTGCTGGGATTAAAGGCGTGCGCCACCAACGCCCGGCTCGTCCTTGTTTTTTCTTAAGCACGCTTTAGAACATTCCATAGGCATCCATACATAGTTCCTGACAAGCACTAAGCAGCCATTTTTCTTAAGTAGGCTTTGAGACAGAAGGCATGAAATTGCATAATCAAATCAGTGTTGAAAGCTGAACAGAAATAATCTAAACCAACTTGTGACTACATCTTTTATGTCATTCACTCTTCCTCAAGAGTATTGCCTTCGCTATAATTTATGCTCTACTTTTATTATTGTAATTTTCCTTCAGGAAAGATTCAACAACATAGTATCTTCTACATGAAATTAGCTGTAGAATTACTTCTGTAGCTAAGAATGTCTAGGGTGGTGTCAAGCTCTTACACTACAACCCTGTTGCTCACTGTGTTGACCACGGACAGATGTTTTAGTCTGTACCTCATCTCATGAGTTAGATGGGGAAATAATATTCTTTATTTGGTTACAGTGAAGAATACTGACTGTTTCATGTAGTGTGTTTGAAATAGTTTTTAGAGCACAACAAACATTCAATGTTACTAATCATTAGAGTAATAAAATATTACACTGATGTAAATTTCTTGAATTTTCTTGGTCATATACTAGACAAGTGCTCCACCACTCAGTTATACGCAGCCCTCTTTTCACTTAGTGAGACAAGGTCTCACTAGCCAAGATCTCACTAAGTTGCCCAGGATGGCCTGGAACTCACAAAGTAGCCCAGGCAGAACTTGAATTTTCACTACTCCATGTAGGTGACATTATAGACCTTTTATTTTCCACCAGGCCAGGCTTCCCCCCCCCGTTGCTGCTGCTGCTGTTTTTAAGACAGAGACTCACTGTGTAGCCCATGCTAGCCTGGAACCGCCTAGTAGTCCTTCTTCATCTGGTTCCTGAGTACTGAGTGAGACTGAGTGTATGCTACCATACCTGGCAACATAAATTTATTCTTTTTCTCTTTTAGTAAAATGTAATGTGTTTAAGATTTCCTTTGTCAGGAACCAGTATAAGACCAAACCAGGACGGCCGTTGGTGGCACACGCCTTTAATCCCAGCACTTGGGAGGCAGAGGCAGGCGGGTCTCTGTGAGTTCGAGGCCAGCCTGGTCTACAAGAGCTAGTTCCAGGACAGCCTCCAAAGCCACAGAGAAACCCTGTCTCGAAAAACCAAAAAAAAAAAAAAAAAAAAAGACCAAACCAGGCCCCCTGAACATGGGTGTCATCTGGGGGGCTTGGGCAGTCCGTGGGTCCACTGGCAGTGGGACAAGAATTTATCCCTAGTGCATGAACTGACTTGTTGGAGCCCATTCCTAGGGAGGGACGCCTTGCTCAGCCTAGATACACAGTCCTGCCCCAAAAGATGTGACAGACTTCGATGATCCCCATGGAAGGCCTCATCCTCTCTGAGGAGTGGTTGAGGGATGGGATGGGGAGCTGGTGGGGTGTGTGGGAGGATGTGAGGGAGAGGGAACTAGGATTGATATGTAAAATAAGACTATAAAATATTTCTTTGTCTCAAGAAGCAACTGCTGCTTAACTTTTTAGGCTATTTCAGGCTTGTGTAAACTAAAGTGTCAGCTAACATGGATTGGTCTCCTGTTACGTGCCAAGTATTTTTCATATGCATTACTTCATTTGGCTTTTTTAAAAGTGTGACTGAAACACTTGATTCCTGTTTGTTGTTTAAATATAAACAGCAATTACTGTTAAGTGACATGTTGAAGTCCACAGATTCAGTGATGGGATCAAACGTTTTCTTCAATCCCAAGATGCATACTTTCCCAACATAGTTGCTTCCTTCTGATTAGGTCTTCCAGATGATGCTTATTTTTCTTTAAAATGTTAAATTGTTTTTAATGGATGATGTATAAGATGGGCGGGGCAGGAAATGAACGTGGAACCCAGAGGAGAACGTGGTGGAGTCTGCTCTCTCTTCCCACCACTCTATGTGTTCAGAGAATCCAACTCAGGCCATCAGGCTCCCCCAGCAACACCTTTACCCACTAAGCCTTCCCCTTGGCTCTCTTCAAAGCCTTTCTAATTACAAGTTGGTTTGCAGGCCTACCAAGAAGGCATTCAAGAGGCACTAATAATGGGAACTATGTGTTCAGTGAAGGCTATTTAAAGACACAGGAAGTATAGGCACTTCCTAGATTTTAAAAATCTGGTTGGTATATTAAGTCACGTACGGATAAACAATTCAGTGCCCACATAAAGACGTGTGACTAAGAAACGAGAGGACAAAGCTAACGAGCACCACGAGGCATCCTAATGATGAGTGGCACAGTCATGTAATTGCTTCCCTCATTTCAGTCAAGCCTCTGTCCCATGGCATCTGAGAGATGCCTTCCTTACTCACCCCTGTAAGCTAGCTTCCCCATTTGGCTGGCCCAACCCTGCTTTATTTTGCCCTTGCCCTGAGCTTGACGACATACCAAACATTCTTTAGCTATTGCTTACCTCTGCCATGAAGATGCTGGCTCCTTGGTGATCTGTAGGCACAGTGTAATAAATATTTAAAGGAAACTCAAAAGTCATTTTTCTTAAAAAAAAATCTAGACTTGGATCTAATAAAGTAGCTATCAGGAAAAATGCTTCAGCGTGTGTCAGCTGAGTCTCGTGTGTGCTCCTCATTCAAAGCAGCAGTCTGAGGCAGGAATGCCGGGTTGTCTGAGGTGGCCACTCTTAGCAGGTCTAAGAGATTGGCCAGATTCTAACTGGATGGACTGCATAATCAAGGTCACACTCCAAAACAAAGAGAAAAGAAATAACCTGTGGATAA